GCTTGGCCTGAGGGGATGGCGGGGGTGCTGGTCAGGACACCCCCAGGCACCCAGCCCAGAGAGCCCAGAAGGGGATGGGTAAGAAATGCCTCAGTGTCTCTTTCAGTGCCATCCCAGGACATGGCCAGGATGATGCTTACTAGGAAGAGACACCCCCTCCCATCTTCCCTGGGCAAGCCCACATTCCGGACGAGCCTCTGGGGCAGATAAGCACCGGCACTGGGGTTCAGAGCTGCAGGAGAGTGGACACTGAGTTCCCACCCTGTGCACGTGGCCTCAGGCAGGTTCCCACCCACCAACTTCAGGCGGCACCCAGAGGGGCAGAGGCCACCATGCTGGGCCTGGGCTGGGTGGAAGGGCAGAGTAGGGGGGTTCGGCCAGGTCTCCCACCTGCCACCCATCAGGTTCCTTTGCCACTGAACCTGCAGCTCTGCATCCCCTATGGGGTCCCTGGGCAGGCTTCTGGGGTCCCTGCCCTGGTGGGGGCAGCTGAAATAGGGTTGCCCGGGCCCAGGGTGCCTGCAGAGGCCTGGCAGGGACCAGGGACCAGCTGGCTGCCTTGCCCTCCCTGGGTCAGGTGTGGCCTTTGGAGTTGGGGCCACACCCACCCGCCCAGCCTGACTCCTGGCCAGACTGTGGCCAGCACTGAGGCCCACACTGCCCTGGCTGACCCTTTCCTGGACCCCATCGCAATCAGGCTCCCGGTCACCAGCTTCCTCGAGAGCCTTGGACACTGGCCTTGTGGGGCAGCAACACCCTTAGGTCTGGTTCTCCCTGGAAGCCTGTTTCTCCCGTCCTGTCTCCACTTCAGCTGCCAAGGCCAGAATTTCAGCTGCTTGTCCCTGATGCAGTCAGGGCTGCACCCACTGGTTTCCAGTGTCCCTGGCAGGCAAACCATAGAGAGACCATGAGGCCTCCACACCTGCTGGTGGCCATCATACACCCTGTGCTTGTCTGTGTGGCACGTGAGGTACCTGCGCAAATCCATAAGGAAAGCAGGGAAGGGACAGTGTGGGAAGCTCAGAGAAAGGAAATCCAGAGACATAAATGGCTGATGACTTCTCACCTCATGCTGGTCTCAAGAAACGAAAGTGTGCCATGGAGGTGGGTGTGATGGTGCACGCCTCTAATCCCAGCACCCTGGGAGGCTGAGGCAGGAGGATCACAAGTTAAAGCCCAGTCTGGGCTACATAGCAACTTAGCAAGACCCTGTCTCAAAATTTAAACAAAATTTAAAAGTGGTAAGGATGGAGCTCAGTGGTGGAGCTCCCCCAGGATCCAGCCCTAGTACCACAAAAGGGGGTGGGGACATGGCTCATTACTGCGCGCAACAGAGCTGTGCTCAGCCTGGATGGTGGCGCGGTCACTGCATCCTCCACCCCATGCCCCTGGCCTTTGGGGCTGGCCTGGAGACTCCCTGCTGCAGATCTGTGTCTGCAGCCCCACTGAGGGCAGACCCAGGCCCCATGCCTGTCTGGGAGGCTCTGGTGTGACCTGGGCAGGGAGCAGATGAGGCCACTCGTGCTTGCCATGGGGGTGTCCCTTGCCAATCTCAGGACCTCACATCCCCACAGGTGCAGGGTGACCTGGTTGAGTGAGGGCCAGACCTTGATACAATGTGTCCTTGTGAAAAGGGAGGGCTGGGGCCTCTGGCAGGCACTTGCTTGGCTGCTCTGAGCAGAGTCTGTGATTTGGACGAAGAGATGCACATTGAGGAGCCCGCAGATGATGTGTCCTTAGAGCAGAGCTCCTGAGGGCCTGGAATACCCTCCCAGGCCCTCCGGGAAACCAGCCTGCTGAGCCCTCATCACTGAGGTCTGACCTCCCAGGCTGCGACAGAATGGGTGGAGGAGGCAGCCACAGGAAAGGGATCACATGGGGCTTAGGAAGTTGAGGCAAGCGTCATCCGTGAGCATCTGTGGTCCCGGGGAGCCACCTGAAGGTGACCCCACCTGAAGGTGACCCCACACAGATGCAGCTCCTGCGTTGGGCCTACACAATGTGGCTTTTCTCCCCAGTGTTCAGAGTGAACGTCCAGAGGAGCCGGGGCAGGGCTGCTCCACCGCCTCCCACCGCCCTTTGGGCCCAGCTTCCCTCTGGGGTCCCCTGGGATCAGGGCAGGGTCATCTGCCTCTTCATCCTGGCCTGAGGTCCCAGGGCCACTGGCCTGAGACACCCTGATGCCTTAGAAGTGCTCCCCTCGGCCTCCCGCAGGTTTTCTTTATTTACTTAGCAAGGCCTTCCTTTTCCTCTCCTCTCTCCGTCGTCCTGTTCTTCCTCTCCCTGCATCTTACAGTACTGAAGATCAAACCCAGGCCTTCACAGGTGCTTGGTGATTGCTCTACCACGAGCTTCATCCCCAGCCCTTTTTATCTTTTTGTTGTTTACTTTGAGACAGTCTTGCTAAGTTGCCCAGGCAGGCCTCAAACTTGGGATCTTCCTGCCTCAGCCTGCCTCAGCCGGGGGCCACTGCCCCGGGCCCTATTCCCGAGGGAGGCACAGATCTGTCATGGGGGGAACCTGTTGGTGCTGGCAGTGACACACACGAGTATTGCAGAGCTCTGTCCACAGCATACCTAGAAGGGACCCCCGGGGAGGAGCAGCCCCAGTCCCGTTCCCAAAGGTGGCCCCTAAACAAGTCAGGGCTCTGCCCCTGACTGAGTGTCCCCAGGACTTGTATGGCAAGACCGTCACCCCAAAATGGAGGGTAAGACGGAGCTCTTGCGATGGGGTCACTACCCAGATCAAGGGGCTCCATGGAGCTCTGCTTCTCCACATAAACATTACATATATTTTGCCACAAAACCCAGTTTTTTTAAGAGTAGGAAATATTTACTGAAGGAAAAATAGCTGTCTAAGAGAGACAGGGACCCAGAAAGTGGGTTGCCCAACACAAAAAATTTTAAGGTGATGATAATTGATAATGAATGGTTATTTATTGGTGGTGGTACAGGGTCTTACAAATGCTCTGCCACTGAGCATCCCCAGACTTGTTTTTGTTTTTTGAGAAAATCATTTTTTTTTTTTTTTTTTTTT